TTTCACCCAAATCTAGGTTAATTCTTTATACATCATTTGCACTGTTACTTTGTTAGCCAGATTAGACAGAGTAGAAGGCCTTCCTTCACATGGTGGATGTCACTGTGTGTACGGAGGTCATCTAAATAGGACAGCCTTCTTGTCTTTTAAAGATACACAGGATATGGGTACGTTTTGGAGCCGGACTGATAGAGGAGAGCTATCTGTAATTCTTGGGCATAGAGGCAAGATGCATATACGTCAGGGCATGGATGGCGTGTCAGTTTCTGATATGGACAGCTAAACATCTACATGATCCAACACATGGACTCATGAGGTATAAGAAGGAGAAGATGACCTTGTTCGGGGCTCAATCTTTGCCGGACGTGATTTCTGAGCCCACAGCTGTTTTAGCTCCAAGCATTTTTCTCTGTCCTGTAACGACCTGATCTGGAATAAACTCTGTTATTTTTTACTCCTGTTTTTATAGTCCTTTTTTCATGGTTTTACCCAGTTTGAGTTAAGAGTAGTAAATAACTTGCTCCCAGGAAAAGAACCGCGTGGAAGCCCCGAGGCGCAACGGCCTTTTATAGGGGACATAACTAGGGTACGACTGTGACTTACTCGCTTCGTCTGCGGGCCTCCATCCCATCAGGTAGAAAGAGTTTGATTGTTGACACGATGCAGCCATGGGTGACTGAGGAGACACACAGAAGTGTTACTAAGCAACATGCTCACATGACAAAGAAACGTTTTATTTTGTGTTTCAACAGTTAGTCTCTGATTGATGTCAGGCTGAAAAACATCAAAGATCAATAAACGGGACTAAGATGAAAACTTTGTTATATCAATAATAGACCTTTGATCTCTGTGATTGGTGTCCATCCCCAAACCACCACACATCCACCCACAGCAGCAATCCAGGCCCTTCCTGGGGTCCAAAGCCACGGCTGCTGAATGAATGACCCTCAGAATACCAGCGCGCACTTCCTGGGACTGAAACTCCGCTGCGGGCCTAAACCATTAGCCGGCGAGTCTGGTCGAACCTCTAACACTACAACTAACCAGCTCTTTAGAAAAGGCCTGGAACAAGACAGCGCTCTTCCTGTCAGACTTGACCAAGGGTTCACACTACATAGGGGGTTTTCAGGTGACGTCACGCTCACGTGACTACTCAGCGCGTCCACCATATTGGGTGGCAGCCTTAGGCAGTATTGACAGTGAAAAATGGTGAAATCGTGTGTAATTGTTGGTTGCACGGCCCGTGGAGGTCAACGCTCTTTCTATCGCATACCAGCCGTAATC